ACAAGTTTTTTTATTTTGACTTTTTTTTATTTGGATCAATTAGTTTGTGAGATCTAAAAAAGGCCAACATGTCAACCTCCTTATAGTTTAAAAAGGACAAAAAAGAACAACATTTGGTTTTTGGAAAGGCATTGTTAAAGTCTAAAATCAAATTGTTTAATTTCATTATGGGTTCTATTTGTTTGAAAAATAATTAAATTGTAATACTTGTAGATGTTGTTGGTTTATGTTGTTGCTGTCATTGCTTGATGTCTATGTTGCTCATATATATCTTGAATATGATTTAGGTCTGCAACTAAGGATTATTTTGCAAATCGATTAATCTGTTGATTATTTTTTCTATTAATAGATTAACATCTGATAGCCAAAGGTTCCTTAAGAAAATATCTTATCTAAATTAAAGGGAAGTGCCTTTTTTTTTTTTTACATTGGGCCCTTGATAGAATTTTTTTAAATCAATCTAAATGTATTGTCTCTTAAGATGACACTTGTTGTGAATTGATGCTGTATAAATAAACTTATTTGAAAAAAAAATAGTTATTTGTTATGTGATTTGATTTTTGTTTGTGGAAATTTGGATTTGCCTTCCCTCTGAGCAGCGCTCAGTACCTTCAGGCCTTGTAGGTTCTCCCTCTACTTTTAGTGGGAATGTTCTGGCTCGTGTCCTCCAGAACAAAAAAAAAATAGTTCTGTCTTCATTTTAATCTTCCGATTTTAACCTGTTGAATAGAAACTGAAACAACTTAAATTTCCTCACATTGTTATTTAGTCAATTAGACCTAGATGGAACTAGAATGTGTGTTTTTGGGTCAACACTTCACACTAATCAATGCTAACCTTTACTAACATGCTGCTGCTTTTGATGGTGGTCCTTCATAGAGAGCTTCTGTTAATAAGCTTTGGACTCTTCATGGCTCCTGCTTTAGTTTGGATCTTACTAATGTTTCAGTTCGGCTTGAGTTTTCCCATCTGACTTTACATAGCTACCCACCTGCTTCTCCTCTAGCTGAAATAAACAATCACACTGCCTTTCTCTGTCCTGACTTCAATCATTTGGCTACAACTCTCTTGGCTGTTATTATCCATCCATCTTCTATCACACTGTATCCCAGCTGGGGTACTGGTGCCTATCTCCAGCTGTCTATTGGTAAGAGGCAGGGTACACACTCACACCTAAGGAGAATGTAGAGAAGCCAATAAACCTAACAGTCATGTTTTTGGACTGCGGGAGTAAGCCAGAGTACACGGAGAGAACCCATGCATGCACAGGGAGAACATGCAAACTCCATGCAGAAAAAAACCTGGGCTTGGAATTGAACCCGGAACCTTCTTGCTGCTAGGCAGCAGTGCTACCCACTCTACCACTAAGCTACCACTAATTATATAACTCAAACTTTGAAAATTATTTCATGGTGATATCAGGGCTGTGAACTCTCACCCATTGGGAGTGAGACTCACCCACCTCAGTGTCTTCACACACTCTCACTCCATATTCCCAATTTCTTACGCAATTAAAATTTATTAAAACTCAACTCCGTTCCACTCATGTATAAAAATACCATGATGATCAAAATCGATTCTGCATTTTTAATACGTTAGTGCTAACAGACAAGGACTAGCCAGGTTCATATCCAGTCCGTATTCCCACCTATTCACTGTGTCAGATATTGAACAAAGACTGCTGTTACGAGGTATGTCATTTTAATTTTTATCTTATCTCATCTGCACTAGTATAATTCTCTTTGTAAATTATTGGAGATTTTAAGCAATCTAGTACTTGAGTAAATATGGATAAAATCTATAGCAGCTTGCAAGTCTGTACTCGCATTCTAGTCAATTGAGAAACGGCACCAGATTTATGCTGTGCGCTCCCATTCTCACCAACTCCAGACTTGCCTGTGTTCTTGACTGTGATTTGATGAATTGAGAAACTTTTTGTCTTTTTTGGGGGGGGAACTTTATTTAAACAAAGTAAGTACAAACCGGTAAGGCAATAGCAACTGTACAAATCTGTGAAAGGCATAGTAGAGGCATATTTAAAAATAGAAGTATAAGGCATTATTGCTAAGGAAAAAAAAAATTAATAAAAAGGAAGCACGATCTGTTCTACGCATGCCACATCAGGTAAAATGCGCATGAGCGACCAGATATACATCTATGTCATCCTCGAATTTATTTTGTTAAAAAGACCTAAATAATGTTTTCCCTCCCCAAAAATAGTAAACGTACTAAAATATGTGTTAAAGGTTAATAATGTATTTCCTGAAAAAATAAATGCCTTAAAATCCTTTCTGTTTTCTCACTCGTCTCTGTCCGATCTGCACCGGAAACTTCCGGTGGTACATTTTTTCGGCTTTGGATTTAAACATAAATCTAGTCTTTTTATGTTTATGTTTTCGTTTCTTTTTAATTGTATGCTATAAAGTGAATAATCTAAATAAAGAAATAACTAAAATGCAGATAAACATTTCGCCGGACTACTCTGAGCATGTCTGTTGATGACGTCAGAGAAGCAGTTTAATGAAGAAAATGTAAAAATGCATAAACATTGTCTCACAAAAGTCATGACACATTTTTTTTACAGATGTTTATTAGTATCCTTTAGTGAGTTGAGGATAGAAAGAAATACTTTTAGTACCATTATTACATTATTTATGGACACCCGGATCTATTCGTGCATGCGCAGAACGGATCGTGCTTCCGGGACGGACACTCCACACCAGTTGGTGGCGGTAATGCTCGCCTTTCAAGTAGTTTTTGCCAACCTCCAGTTAACAACACAGGAAGAAGAAGAACTTTGCTTCCTCCGTTAACTTCCCACACCTTCGTTGCTAATGCTGCCTGCAGTCCGCAGCTCCTTTCCACCGCGATAATGTCACACTGTTGCATAAATGGTTGCAATAACCGTTACAAACCGGGAACAAGAATCAATTTCTACAGAATTCCCAACGGGACACGTCAGTTTCATATCGACAGGAAGCGTTTATGGATAGAGGCGATTGAACGAGCCAATGGGAGCAGCGAGGGAATTACTTCAGCGGATCGCATCTGTGGCGCTCATTTCATCACAGGTAACTAACTCATCGGGCATATAACAATGTGACAAGTCTCTGAAATATTTCTCTATATTTTTATTGTATTTGTTTTTAAAGGACAGGCTTCTACGGATCCAGAAAGGCCTAATTTCGTTCCAACCTTGTTTGCATGCACCAAACTACGTCAGAGTAAAAGGTAAGATGCATTGCATGTTTTTAATACGGTAACTACAGTTTGTAATAAAATATTAGATTTTTTTCCTTTGACATAGTTAATGGTTGGCGTGTATAATTAATTCTTTTGTAAGTTTTTTTTAAGTGTAAAATTTTTTAGAACAACTATTTAAGGTGCACACTTTTTTTTGCCATTTTAGTGAAATAAAGTCAAGCAGGCAGTGAGAGTGTTTGTGCAAATTGGGCAAAAAATTAGCAAAATGAAAGGTGTTAGTCATTTTTATTCAAACATAATAATTTTCCACATTCTTTTGGCTTTAATGGGGTTGGAAGTGGTGTTCAACCAATCTTTTGGCTAAACCGACCTAATTTGGCAGCGTTTTTACCAAATCTATATTTTTACTAGGGCAGACCAATGCAAATTAATCTCATTAGCCAAAATAATTAAGTATAATCGCAACATTCAAAAGTCAAAGGTGGGTCTTGAACCATCAACCTCAGGATTTAGTGTCTGTCTTATAGATGACGTCACTAATGTTGTTGACTGTTTAATGGCGAAAATGCTACTTAACATTGATGTTCCAACTCTGTCAGGTGGCTTGCTGAGATTTTGATCATTACATTGTTTATTCTAACCAAAATAGTTTTAAGCAACTAGATTTGTTGGAAAAACAACCGTGCTTTGGTGGCGAAGTATGACCCATGTACAGAGGCCTTAGTCCTCAACGCAGCCGACCTGGGTTCGAATCCGACCTGTGGTCCTTTACCTCATGTCTCTCCCCCTCTCTCTCATACTCCCTTTCCTGTCAGCCTGCTGTCCACAAAATGAGCCACTAGTGCTGTAAAAACAAAACAAAAGAATAAATATATCTGACTTCCATTGATTTTTGTGTGGTTTGTTGTCAGCACATTCAACTTTGTCCTGAATTTACAAAAGTTTTCTGGAATCTGCTTAAGTACCTCTTTTTGGTATCCATCGTCACTAACTCATTGTACGTAACTGTTATGGTTTTAATCTACGCTCTGGGTTACCCATAATTCCAAGTCATAGTGTAAAAACTAAAATACTCAAATACTTTGTTCTTTTAAGATCTTTATTGCGGTTTGAAACATTTTATATGAGTGTATTATTTACCAACCGTCTAATGAACTATACACAGTTATTAACATAGTAATAAAAGCACCACTGTTTGCTTTGCTAATAGTATCATGTTTAAACAGCTCACCATCATGTTGAAATCTGGCATGGGTTGCGGTATAAATACGGTCTGGTGCGGTCGGTCACTTCAGTATCAGGTGGGATTAAGAGGAACTTTTTGCACCATTACATCTGCAAAGAGACGTCCTAGTCTACAATTGGGTAGACTAGGACGTGGTGTCAGTGATGGGGCCCCTAAGAGGTTGTGGGGCAGTAAGCAACTGCTGTCTTTCTTTACCAATATTTATGCCATAGATCTTCCTCCAAATATTATCTATTAAATTCAAATTGGATCTGCAATTACTTTTAGTCAGAAGGAACGGGTTTGTACAAAACATAAGACTCCACCAAAGTAAAATCATCTATGTTAAGAATCATTTTAGGATTAACTGTTGGCATCAAACTAACCTCACGTTTTAAACACTTGTATATATTATTTAAATCATATCATTTAATTTTTTTTTTAAACATTTTCCTTTCTTTTTCAAAGGCTTTCAAAGGGAACCAAAACAACAACAATAAGAGGGTGTGCAAAGACCAGAAGCCAGGCTATTTTGCCAGAGGATTCAGTCACAAAAAGAAACCCAACTACACTGAAAGAGCATGCAAAGGCTGCAAATCCAACTACATCGAAAGAGCATGCAAGGGCAAACACATCAACAGTGGCAGAAAATCCAGTGACCAAAAACACTCCAACCGTAAAAGAGGATGCAGGAACAGAAAACAAGCCTTCCCTGATAGAAGATGAAGAGATGCAAATATCGCCAACCCAACCTGCATCTGAGTCTCCTTTGAACCATCAGTCTTTTACCGTGATGGAAATTGGAGATGAACTTGTACCTGAAGTGCAGTCTTCATTGTCCACATCGGCATCAAAGGTAGCAAACAACCCCTTTTTATTATGTTTACTTTGTATGTTCAGCACTTGCAGCCTTGCTAATTTTGTAATCTTTGAATATTTTATTCTTCTTTCACTATATCAATGAAGCTGTGTTTTTTTTGGCATCTATCCATCTAGGAAGAAGAAGCAGAAGACAAGAAGATCTACAATGAAGACCAAACTGCACCTAAAAAAATCAAACTTGAGAACAAATACATCCTAAAAATACCTCCTCACTACAGAGACATCTTAAAACTAGATCGAAAACCTGTTGTTCTCCTAAAGCCCTTGGTTCCTCCACAAGATGTCTCTCAGGCGGATCTGAACGATCAGACATTGACTGAAGCATCAGAGAAAGAGTGTGAAGAAGGAAACATGTGTCAGACAGGTTTAACTGAGTCCTCTTTAGTAACCAAGGATCATTCATCCTTTCCATGTAACATGTGTGATCGAACTTTTAGTACAAGTCACTACCTGAAGCGCCACAAACTGCTTCACGTTCGAGATGTGAGGAAGTGCCTCAGGTGCGGCGCTCTCTTCTGCCGCCGCCACAACCACGTTTTGTTCCAGACACGATCAGAGCCTCTACCAGTGTCTGAGGAGAGTTCCTCCAGCAGTGAGGATGAATCTTTAAACAGTGATTCAAACACAGAAAACGGACAAACAAGTGAAACAACAGAAACGGCTAATAAGACTTTGACTATACAGACTAATGCACCTCCAAGCAGTCCTGCTTTCACAAACTCACCTGTACTGACAATTTCTCCTCTGACAAACACCAGAAAACCTCTGCTGGAGTCAGTAAAGCCTGCTGCTGTGCCCCGTCCACCCTCTCCGATCTTCAAAGTCCCAAATAACCAAGCAACCGTGTTTCAGATCAAACCGCTCCGGTTGGGTCCCTCACCTTCTTTGATGCAACCAAATGTCCAACAACCGCAACTCCCATCTTCACTGAAGGTCTTTTCGAGTGAACACCTCACCTCAGCTCTGCTTGATGTTCAGAGAAATTACGAATACATTTTAGGAAAGTCTAAAACGGAAGTCCAAGTCAAGGAGGAGCCAGAGGATCCAAGTCAGATCTGCCCTGTTGAGGAGCCTGTCACTCGTGTCAAATTGGAGAAAATTGCGTATGACCTGGAGATGGTAATTTGACCTAAAGCTGCTAAAAGAACCTACTCTGGGTGATCATTTATTGCCCAATATAAATGTATGCTAATTTGCATATCTTTACATATTTTTGATACGGATCTGCTTTTTTATGTATTACACTTCACTGAACAAATAGGCATTCTGTCTTAGTTTTTTTTTTTAATTTGTAGCATCATATTCATCCAGTTTTCTGCACACAGCTAACATTAGCAACAGTGTTTTGTTTTATATACAGGAGATTCTCATTTCATTCTTCTATCTACCTCAGCTAGCTGTTCACAAGTAGAAATTGCGTGTTTTACTGCAGATCTGAGCTGCTTTTGGACATAAGTACAAACATGCCTATTCTCTAGTATTAAGCTTGTATTCAGATGCATGTGTTCCTTCCAGCAAATGTCTTTAAGATCAGTTGTAAACTTCTTCTTTACCTTTTACAGCAATAAAGCAAACTTTGTGCATTTTGGCTCTGACTGAATTCTACATATAAAAAAAAACTGCTTCATTGCCCTTGATTTGTTTTTTTGTTGTAAATAATGCTTCCCTGTATAGAACATAACACATCAATCATCTTAATTAATCATCTCATTAATGTGTTTCATGGAGTTTTCCAGATTTTTTTTTCCTTGGCAAGGAAAGGGCTGCACAGTGGGTAGCACTGCTGCCTTGCAGCAGGAAGGTTCCGGGTTCAATTTCCGGCCTGGGGTTTTCTGCATGGACTTTGCATGTTCTCCCTGTGCATGTGTAGGTTCTCTCTGGGTACTCCGACCTCCTCCGTCAGTCCAAAAAATGACTGTTGTGACTCCTGAGGTTTAAGTTTGTGTGTGAATAGTTGTTCATCTCTCTGTTGCAATAGACTTGCAACCTGTCCAGGGTGTACCCGCCTTGACAGCTAGAGATAGGCACCAGTGACCCCAGCCAGGATAGGCGTGACAAAAAATTGATCAATGCTTCTAGAAGTTGAGTTAAATGCAAAGTCAATTTTTTTTTTCTAAAATACACAAATATCAATCTCCCTTAGGATGTGGTCTGTACCTTTTTTGAATATACTAAATAAAAAGGTATAATGGATCAATAAATGTTAGATTTCCAGTGTTTGGTTATTTTATATTTATAGTGCATGCTTAACTCTGGCCTAATGTGATAATTCATTTAAACTGTTTTGGCATTCTCAGAATAGTAGTTGCCCTCCTTGGCTTTATTTTTATAGTATTGTGGCTTTGCTCGGCATTAAGTTAAGATTATAAAGCTATTAGTGTTAAGTGATTTTTTTTTTTATACACAGAATCCCAATTCTACCTTTTTTTTTTTTTTTACTGCATCTTTCGGTTACATTTTTATTATTCATCAAGACTGACCGGATATTATTCGTTTGGTTAAATAAATGATTAAAGGCCAGAGAGCCTTCCTGTGTAACCTCCATCAGCCAGAGGTGCACCTGACTCCCATCTGCAAGCTGTACGCGTCCAATTGGTTTGGCTCTCACTAGCAGACGTCTCTGATTGGATGATTCACTATTCAGGCTAAATCACTTGAAGCTCTGATTGGCTGAAACTCTGAGAGCCCAGTTTTCTATTGGTGGCTGACACAGCCGCATGCCTTCATACATGTTAAGTGTGCCGATGCTGTGACAATGGGTTTGATCCAGAAATGCATCATCTAGATCGGGGATCCTGCAGACCTGAAGGAGTAAAGAAAAAACAGCTGGATAAAGATCAAAGGGGGAGGGGGGCTGCTGCTCGGAAACGGTGAGTTTTATGCCGGAAATCTAACTGACATCCAGTAAGCTGGGGGGCTGGGGAGCACTAGGCTGTAAATCCCGCTGGCTCCAGCAGATTCCCTGCATATAAGATGCATTTTCTGCCTGGCAGGTCGCACACAGTGTATTAGGTCAGCCTTGCTCTTCATGCAGATGTGAGTCAACTCATCCTTTCACCTCGGACTGCATTGCGTAGAAGGAGCGAATCTTGAACCATAAAGCATCTAATAATCTTACTGACTCAGTGCTCGAAAGACCCAGTTTTACCTCATCGGTTGAGTTTTGCATGCTTGGATAATCAAAACCTATAAAAAGGCATCATTAACTGACTTCTACTGCCACATTAGGAGCAAGCAGAAATATTTCACCTGACATTCCTCCCCGTCCATAGAGAATCCCATAGATGCTGCATGCATTAACTCAGATTTGCTTTGAATATTGACTATAAACATATAAAGTAGATCAAGCCTGACTTGGATGAAAATCAAACATTAATTGTTAAACTTTGATGGAAAACATTATAGGCAGATTAAAGAGTTAGTTTAAACAACTAAGTAGAACAAGTCCAGAGAGGTAGGAAATAGAGAAATGGAAAATAATTAAAAAGTGTTAAATATCAAACTGTTTGTATCTGAAACATCACAAAACATCTATATATAGATCTCTGCAATAGAAATTAATATATATTAAAGTACAACAGAAAAATGAGTATAGTGGAAATTAGTTTGTACAGATAAAATAAATAATTTGCCTTATACATCTAATATGTTCTGAAACCTTTCTAAACGTTAAAAAAATTGTGAAATTATGAAAAGAACTATTTTAAATAAGGAGGAATTGAACATGGAAAAACAATACGATTTAACTAAAATTAAAGTAAATGTAAAAAAGATCTATTTTGTAATAAACAGATAATATGTTAAAACAAATAAAACAGAATCAATATAGTTTCTCTAATTTTCATGCTAAGAGTTTGAGTCTTCCATCTGCTCTCAGGGTGTAGAGATGGGGGTGTTCAGTCGGCAGAAGTTTTTCCAGGAGCTTCCTCATGGCTGCCTGCTGCCTACAGCTCAGCAGGGCCTGGAGCAGGTATGGCAGCTGCTGGTTATCTGCCTGATGTGTCGGCTGCTCTGGATGTTAGGTGAGAGCTCAGTTATTCTGCTCACCTGTATTACTTTCTGCTTCATACATATCAGCCTTTTAATATAATGCATTTATAATGTATTATAATTTTTTTTAAAATCTTGACAGGTCTCCCTTCCTTTGTGAAGCACCTGTGCACGGTAGCGGGCGGTTTCTACACCCTCTACCTGTTCTTTGAGCTCCACATGATCTGGGTTGTCCTCCTTAGCCTTCTCTGCTACCTCTTCCTCTTCCTGTGCCGTCATTCCACCATCCGAGGAACCTTTCTGTCCATAACGGTGCTCATCTATCTGCTCCTTGGGTAAAAAAAAAAAGTCATCTTCTGACACCTGAAATAGCAATGTTTGATGTGAACTTTTCAAAGTGACAGATATTGCATTAAACTGTTACTATTTTATCTGTTTTAATCAGGGAGCTGCACATGATGGATACCACCAATTGGCACAAAATGAGAGGTAATCTAGAAACTGATTAGTTTAATAATGAGAGGTAATGTTATAGTTCTAATTGGGAGCCCCTGATGTGTAGGTTCCCAGATGGTTGTTGCAATGAAAGCCATTTCCTTGGCCTTTGACCTGGACAGAGGTGTTGTGGCCAGTGTCCCCTCACCCATTGAGTTTATGGGCTACATTTACTTTGTGGGTACCATCATATTTGGGCCCTGGATCAGCTTCAACAGCTACAAAGAGGCTCTAGAAGGACGTAAGTTGGTAAGTTTGTTTGCAGTTAACCATAAGACGTGACGTCATAAAACCCGTGTTCAGCTTCGTTGACTTCAATATTTCCTGAGACTGTGTTAGAGAATTTGTTAGTCTGGTTCACCCCTGTGGTAGAAACACTTCTTCTCACATTTTGAACAGTAAAAGGACATGAAAAGAATAAAGGAGTGGAAAAAAAATGGGATTCAATTTTGTTTATTTATATAGTTCCAATTCACATCACTTATTTTCTCAGGGCACTTAGAAAAATGAATGAAATACCTCTAAAAGTATAGTCTTTTATTAACCACAACCTCCTACTGTATTTTGTTGGACTTAAGCATGTTCGATGGAATTAAATTATACAAAGTTAACTCGTATTTTTTGCAATATGTAATTGAATTCATGCTGTTTTTGTAATTGTACCCATAGATAAGTGAAACAAGAGGATTATGTAGACCTGGGGTATCAAACTCAAATGCAGAGGGCCTTAATTCAACACTTGGACATAGATGCAGGATCGCCTGTGTTATTTAAAAAAGAATCTTTGGCTACATTTGCAAAACAAGATAATATAATAATTAATATTATATGATATTATAATAATCTTTTAACCATTCAAAAAGCCTGTTTCCCACTTTTGTTTAGGCTGTCTTTTGCAGGGGTCACCCGATGTGACAGGTAGTAGCAGGAGGTCACTAATAGTTGTTAGCTCAGATTGACCAGCCAACAGGATTTGACATTTCAGCCTTGATTTCTGTTAGCTAACTATAATAGATAAAGCAGTGGAAAAGATTGAACTTAAGTTTCCCAGTCCATCATCTGAAAATGAAATGAGAAGTTTAGCTCTGTAGGTAGACAAGAGTGTCTACTTGGAAAGACAGGGTGCTAATCAGGTTGTGGCTGAGAGGTTTGATAGCTCTGAGGGAGCTGCAGAGATACACACCTCAGGTGGGGAAATCTTCTATTATTTTCTGAGTTATTAGTCTATGAGGTTATTACATCCAGTCCTGTAAAGAGACATTATATTTGTGGAATTTTTGTTTAGGCCTTTTGATCAATGTTCTGCAGATTGTCCACATTTGTAAAGAGTAGTGCCGTGTAGCTTAACAGAAGTGTGAGCTCTATGAATTACTGATATTTAGGGGGAACAAATGCATAATGTAACTTTTTAAATTTCAGTGGTCAAACATATCATCTACAATTTTCCTTTAATCTGAAGAAATCTACAATTTTCCTTTAATCTGAAGAAATCTACAATTTTCCTTTAATCTGAAGAATAAGCACCCTTTGTGTTTGTCTAGCAGATAAAATCCCAATAGATAAGATCAAATCTGTTGTTTTAGTATAACAAAATGTTAGCAAATGTTAGAGTGGTATACATGCTTTTACAAACAACCCTAGACCTGAACTTTGTGCTATCCTTTTTCCTCCTCAGAGCCTAGCCTGGCTTCTAAAAGCGTCCATTAGCTGGCTGAAGAGCCAGATCTGCCTGGTTGTCTCCAACTGTGTGGCTCCCTACCTCTTCCCTTACTTCATCCCTGTCTACGGAGACAAGCTTCTTCGAAGGTGAGTGAAACACAGAGGTATGTTTACACAAGTTCCAATCTGGCTTTTCTGTCAGTTAATGCTTTTTTTTTTTTTACTTGATCTGTTCAAAGCAAAAAGAGGAGGAAGATCCGGTAAGCTCTCAGAGCTCTCTTGACCATTTTCATCATCCTAGATGTGTTTCCACTGAATCCTTACATTTTAGTTGCGTGGTTCTGTTGTTTACTTTGTGTAAAAAGCTTTACCTGCATGCATGTTCCCACCCCTTTCCACTGTGTGCAGCTACATGTGTACCAGGACACATTTTCCACCCTCTTACTTGCCATTTCATCACTTTGAATAATTTGGTGAGGCATAAATTATCACAAGAAATGACAAAAAAAAAAGCATTCCTGCAAATGTGATATATTTTAATGTTTTTCTCCTTTTTCTCATGCTTTCCCAGAGGCTCACTTGCAAAGTATGTCCCTTATTCCACTTTTTTAATCAGTAAAGTAATATTTTCACTGTCATGGAATGATAACATCCACTTATCTGTTTCTGGTGGTGTTTAGGTGGCTGCTGGCATATGAGAACACAATGTCTTTCCACTTCAGCAATTACTTTGTAGGCTACCTGGGTGAGACTACAGCTACTCTTGCAGGGGCGGGCTTTACAGAGGAGAAGGACAACCTGAAATGGTGGGAAATGCACGTCTTCTTTAAATAAAATCCATTCACATATTTTGTTACATTTCTAATAAAACACCCTGCCGGTTTCCATCTTTGCTTTGCAGGGATCTGAGCGTGTCCAAGCCGCTGAACATTGAATTTCCCCGGTCCATGTTGGAGGTGGTGACGTCGTGGAATGTGCCCATGTCTCACTTCCTGCATACATGTGAGTGGCACTGTTAGCAGTGATCGCTGATTCATTCTTACTGATTTTATAGGGTTCCTATGCAGCTGTGAAAAGTATAAACATTCAGTTTAGTATTTTCAATGTTATGATAATTATGAAGATGACAGTCGTTCATTCCTTGTTTCCTCCCATCCTTCCATTCTTTCTGTCCATTCCATCTTTGTTATATTTTCTTTTATCCTTTCTGATTCCTTCCTGTTCCTCCTTCGATGCTTTTTTTCTTTTTCATCTGTGCCCTTCTTTCATACATTTTGCCCATCCTTCCTTTCCTAGTTTCTTTTGTTATTTCTACTTCATTTCATCCATATTTTATCTCCTTTTTTTATTTTTTTTCTTAACCTCTTAGTGTACTTGACACCTGTCTTCTGTCCTTTCATCTGTCCCTCTTTGTTTTCTTACTGTCCTTTCTTATACTTAATATTTAGAGTTCTTCCTACTGTAGTTAGGATCTCCACAAGGTTATTGTGAATGTCTATTGTTAATATATCAAAATGAACCTTATGTAATAAAAACTCAGATTTGAATTTTAAACATTGGGAATCTTTAAGCAAACCTTAATGTTCTCATCTCACAGATGTATTCAAGAGTGCACTCAAATTCGGGACATTCACTGCCATCATGGTGACATGCATAGCCAGCGCCCTCCTGCATGTGAGCACTGTGTGGCAGTCTTATATATGTTTGTATTGTCCACTCTGCTTGTATCAACAGACTGATTTAAACTTTTATACGTTTCAGGGTCTAAGTTTCCATCTGGGTGCAGTTTTGATATCTCTGGGGTTTATTACATACGTCGAGCACGGTAAGAGTCTCGCTAATGATTTGCCTTCTACACGATTAAAAGCTGCAGAGGAATTGGTTAGCTCTGCAATTATGGTTAACGGCCCGTGAAACTGTGTTTTCAGTGCTGCGTTTGTTTTATGTTAATGCATTAACCCTGTTTTGTGTTTCAGTTTTGCGGAAGAGGCTCGCTGCCGTATTTAATGCCTGCCTGCTTTCAAGGAAATGCCAGCCAAACTGCAATCATCAAAACAAAAAGGTAATGTGGTGCTATACTGGAGATTTTTAGTAAAAAGCCTGGAAGCAGTCAGGTTGGCCTTTCTTAAAGTCTTACAACAACAAACATAAATGTTGTCATATTTCTAAACTCTACCAAGAATTTAACCGGAACTCTATCCTATCGTCAGATAATGCTACCATTTAGCATTTCAGAAAAACACTTCAGGAGAGTCTGGTGTGAAAACTTACAGCCCCTTATTTAGACTCCTTGACAATCAAAGGCTTTTATTCATGACACATTATATTATATATATTTTTATTGATATGTAGGATTTACTTTTTCTCTTTTAGATCTGCAAATAATATGTATGTTTTAGAATTTATTCCCCAGGGAAATTGCAAACAGATGAAACGTGTAATTCAGAGTAATTTAGCAGTTTTTATATTTGTTTAGAAGGAAGCTTTGGCTCCTCAACATTTATGATAGGTTTTAGTTTTTCTTTTACAGCCAAAATTCAGCAACAAATTGCTTTTGTTGTTCTTGTTCATCTTAGATGTGATTCCATCAAAGGTTTTGGTTTATTTATCCTGTCTTAATAAATCATCGCAATAAATTCATTTTTCTGAATGTGAATGTGGAGGGAGGCAGTTTGCTGGATTTTATTTATTTTTACATGTTTTTTTATTTACCAGGTTTTGGTGACTTTAGGATGTTTTTCTTTGATAGAACTAGTTTTATAGATTCTGATAAAAAACTGTTGTCGGAAAATTTAGATTTATCTTCTATTATATATTCATTTATCCTATTTACTCACTATAAAAGTTTTCCCTCAGTCTGTTTCACCTTCAAGGCCACACCATTCTCTGCAGGAGAAAAAATCAGATTCTTTCTCAAGGTTTATTCATAACATGTTACCAAAGTGTCTGTAATTTGTTTTGACTCTGACTACTTTTACATTGTTGTAAATAAGGGAAACGAATGCTGCTCAGGCAGAACAGGGCAGAATGCTGTGCCACAAGAGCTGTATAATGAACTCTTCTCTCTTTGCAAAGATATGAATAAATGTGCCGAAATCCATCAATCTTCGTTTATTTAACTAGGGTGAATAGTTGAATACTTTTTTCCCACGACACAACGATTTTGTACTAGTGATTTTACAGTATAGTCCACAATGCCTGACAAAAGTATTCATGCTACTTAAACAGTTTGACTTTTTAATGGATTTTAAACCAACTTGTGGGTAATTGTGATATTAAGAAATTAAAAAATTGTTTATTTTTCCTCGTTTTTTACTATTAAATATTTGATGATTGTGACATGCATATGCTGCTGCCAGTTTGTCTAGGATCTTTTTCAGATTTGTACTTCTACTTTTTCTAAACNATATGCTGCTGCCAGTTTGTCTAGGATCTTTTTCAGATTTGTACTTCTACTTTTTCTAAACTCAGTAACTCAGCCAGGTCATAGAACCTAACATATTCTAAAGAGGACGAGGCCACTTTAATATTATCTCATTAAAATCATCCTTTTGTAGCTCTGGCTACATTTGTGCAGATGTTCATAATGTGAAAGTTTAAGAATTTTGAATACTTCTGCAGTGTACTGTAACTTTCTCTCTACTTGTTAAATTTTTTTTGTTTTTTTCTGTTAATTTTGTTTCTTTTATTATTTCTCCAAACAGTAATCATGCTGTTGAAAGACAACCACTTAAGAGCATACACTACATTTTTGTTTACATTTCTCTCGGTTATTTTTTATTTTTTTTATTTTCTTCCTAACATAATGTTTAACAAAATAATTCAGACATTTCTTCTTACAGCAGCAGGTGTGCAACAGGATCTGCTTTTGTTTGGACAGATAAATATTAATGCAATCTCCTTTCACATTTAATAACATTGCATTAATTGTCAAGCAACGCCAACACTGGCATCACTTTATAGTGAATATACATAAGTCTCAGTAAATCTTCCTGGTTCTGTTTCATGATTAAACCATCACTTATTGGCGCTTTGCCCAATGAAAAACTGAAAAACATAATTTTACAGATCAAATTCAGATATTTTATTATTGTTGTGAAGATGACATGATTTTGCATTTTCCTATCTATCTCATGCACTTATTTCTTTATGTTGCTTAGCTTATGAGGACTAAGCCCTTTATTGTGGGTCGCATATTTTAGAACAAAATATCCAATTAAGACTGCATATGAGAGTTACCTACCTTGATGCTTTCTCTGTTTGCAGAAGCTGTGGGTGTTTCTGATTAATTTAGCGTTTTCTGGCCTGGCACTTCTGCACTTGATATATTTGGGCTCTGTGTTCAACTCCAGTGTGGACTACATGGAGGAGGATGAGGTGAGATTTATTGCTTCACTGGGGAAATGCACATTTTGCTGCAATAAAAGAGCAATTGAAAAAGATAAGTCAAATCGATGATATAGAGCAGGGGTCACCAACCCTCTTTAAGGCTGATGGCTCCTTCATTGGTACTGAATCATATAAAGGATTGGTAATGCTGACCTATGAACGGGACGGATCAGTGTTCACCTAAACTTCATACAGGAAGGAAGGAAGGAAGGAAGGAAGGAAGGAAGGAAGGAAGGAAGGAAGGAAGGAAGGAAGGAAGGAAGGAAGGAAGGAAGGAAGGAAAGATCAGTGTTCACATTGACTTCATACATAATAACCTATTTTTATTGTTTCTTTTAACTCCTAATTTTCTTTATGATACGGTATTTTCAGTTTGAAATCTCTATAAATTCCTTAAATACTCCATGATTAAAATTATGAAAACGTTCTATAAATTATTAAAAAAGAAGGGCAACAGAATGACATAAAAAATTCAATCTTAGGAAACTGGTGTGTTGTTTTCAGAAGATGCTGTTGGCACCCCATGAGGCCCCTGAGGGCCCATTGGTGCCCGCAGGCACCACATTGGTGACCCCAATATAGAGTGTTATAAGACAAAGGAACCCATTTGTATATCTCCTTTCCTGTGCCGAGTTATACCCCAAAACAACAATATCAAATTTCTGTTGTATTTTCCTCCACAGCAGTCAGGCTCAGTGGTTGTTGTTTTTTTCTCCACCTGATAAAAATAAATCGGAAGCTCTGGGCCTTTGTTCCCCTCTTCATGGATAACAGCATTTAAAACTTTGAACAACCTGTTTCATTTATTTTTTTTACAACGTTATAAAGCTGCTGAAGACCACTTTGGCATAGACGTGAATAGAAGTTTAGCTTAAGCAACAAAATATTACCTAATAACCCAGAAAAAATGCTTCTAAAGCAATTTTTATGGAAATAACTTTTGCTCTGAATCCACCTCAAGATGTTTGAATTTCTATACATAGATGAGATTTTACATGTCAAGCTAAAACACAGCAGTTTAAGTTAGCTTAATGTCATAAGTAGGCAACAGCTGAGATTTATCATTGCAGCTGCCTTTGTTAGTACTTAAGTCAATTTTTACTAGACAATATAACCTTAAAATAAATATCGGAAACTTATTAAACTTGGTGCTTTCTTTATTAGTTTATTAAATTCAGTTCAGCCTAATTTTTAACACAAAATGTACCCAAAGTGCATTCAAGTAGAACTCAACAATATGACCTATCACCATAAAATGCTTACCCTGAATGTGGAGTCCACTTGACTCCTAACTGAAATAGAGCCTATTTAATATAACTAACAGATCAGATGAGTAATTCAGAGAATTAACCGATATTTATTTTGAATTGGGGCCCCAGATTATATTTTCCTTTTAAAAAAAACTTAAAAGTTCACTGATGGGGATGCGGTGGTGGTGTAGGGCCACATGTCTTCTCCCTCTCTCTAATCCTGTGTCCTGTCTGCCTACTTTCAAAAAATACAGAAAAAACAGCATAAAATAATAATAATAATAAAAGAAAAGGTTCACTTATAACTGTAGACAGGTATTCAATTAAAGATGAATTTATTACAATATTTGTACACATCTTTACACGGGTGCTGTATTTATTCTTCTACTTCCTTTGGAGCAGATTCACTCTGATGTTGGAGCTCAGATCTTTTCTAGATCCTAAATGTCTATATTAATGTAGCACTCTAAGACCTGGCAACGCAACATTTGCTGAGTATTTATAGTGGAATATTATTTAGCTCATGATTCACCCTCTGGACTTTCCTTTCCATGCTTTCCTGTCTGCAGGATGAAATCACCAACCACACCATTCAGAAGTGGTCTGAGCTGAGCTGGACGAGCCACTGGGCCACATTCAGCTGCTGGATATTATACCGCCTCATTCTCTAACAATGGGAAGCAATGAAGGGTGAAAGAAGCAATAATGAGAAGCAGATTTCCCATTAATCTACTGTGAATTTATCCTAGTTATGACTGAGGGAAGCAAAATCAATCTCAACTTGCAGTTTTCAGGTTGTACTACATGTGAGTCGGGTAGTGCTCTTCTAACATTTTGATATCTAAAGGAAGCCCACAGCGCCTTTTTTTTTTTCATTTTTCCTTTTTATCTGACCCCCAATCACCATGGTGTCATGTTGTCACTGTGACCCACAATCAATAACCATCAGCGCAGGGGAGATCGACTTGCAGACATGTGATGGTTCACGTCACGCAGATGTCCTCCAAAGCCAATCACATCGGCTGTATGTATCTATCCTGGCAACGGATTTCAAATTTGTCATTTTACAAGTTTTGAGTGTTTTTGTGGGATTAAACTGTTATAGAACAACAGAAAGTAGTACAGGACATGGTTGTTATTTGTTTACAAATTCAAATTTGAAAATTTGTGGCATAATTTTGACTTTTGCTGTTGGCTGCAATTTCAGCTGCAAATGCTTTCAATTTTTTTTTTCTTTCATATTTTTACGGTAAAATATACTTTAAAAAACATTATTATCCTTCCACTTTTATAAATGCAACAAGCACATGTTATTAGACAGCTTTTTACCACCAGCTGTAACTAATTCCCCTTTTGTGACTATTAAATATATTTAAGGTTTTAGATTATTACATTTGAAACTTTTTTTTTTTACTTTCGAAGTTTCCCGATAGTGTTTCTTTGTAAATTTTTATTGTATCCTCAAATATGTAATTTTGATTTCTTCTCTTCCATCTATAATAAAGCCGTAGAATCAGGATATTTTAGGTGTAATATTGTTTAAATAATTATCATTTAGTTTCATATAACCTAAAATTAAACTCTTCTTTATTCTACACCAGACATTTCTCTTGAGATATATACAGCAGCTGAGCTTGAGGTGAAGGTGCCATGCACCCCGACCAGGAGTACAAGCGGTGGATGACAGAGCAGTTTTTTTATAATATATATCTAAAGCTGCTGTTAACGACTGAACACTGTTGCTGTTTATGAGCTGCTAAAGAATCTCGACTGTGTCCATCAGAAAGGGAAGATGCGGTGTTAAAATAGATTTTGAGTGTTTGTTGATTTACCCAGTTTCTGCTGTGATACTGCTTAGTACAAAAAATGGCTGTAAATACCTTATATTTGTGTTTTGTCCTTGTAAATGTAAAAGGCCATGACATACCTGTGATATTTTTATAAAATTTTACATGAAACCATACATGCAGTCTGTGTTTGAATGTAGTATATGTGGTTGACTTTAAATCTCATTGAACAGTTAATTGTCATGACTTGTCTGATCACTCATTTCAATCACCTGCTTGTCTCCGTCCAGTTCTCATTAGCGCTGATCTGATCCACCTGCTTCAGTCTCTATTTAATCAACCTTCAACTAGTCATCAGTGCCAGATTATTTGAGCCTGTAGTGAGAGTTTTCGAGCGTAACTGTGTTTTCTGATTCCCTGACCTGTTCTGCCTCTGGACCTCTGAGCCTGCGTTTCCCCGTTCTGACCCGTTTGCTTGACCTTTCTTCGGTTTCCTGCTGTATTTCTGCCTTTCTGTGAACTGAACCTGGAACTGTTTCCTGACTCCGTTCTGGATCTGATCTCCTGGCTCTGAATACCAAGCACGTCTTCGACACCAGCTTCGGCTTCGTCATCTGGATTATCCTGCCTTCATTCGTCTGCTCTGTTCTAATCTGTCTGTCCTCCGACCTCTGAGACATCACTATATAGGACTCTCTGGGCGGCACCCGCCACGTCTTGTTGGCAGCCGACCAGCCAGAGCCTACCGTGTCCTCACTAAGACTAAGAAAGTAGTGCACATCCCCCCAGTTCTAAAGTCCTTACACTGGCTCCCTGTATCTCAGAGAATAGACTTTAAAATACTTCTGTTAGTCTATGAATCTCTGAATGGCTTAGCACCTAAATACATCACAGACTTGCTATCAGTGTATCAACCCTCCAGACCACTCAGGTCTTCTGGCTCCAGCCTGCTCTGCATACCTAGAACCAGAACTAAACATGGAGAAGCAGCATTTAGTTCCTATGCTCCACTTATCTGGAACAAACTTCCAGAAAACTGTAAAAGTGCGGAAAGTCTGGGTTCCTTTAAATCAAGACTAAAAACACATTTGTTTAGGATTGTCTTCAACTGTTCTAGTTAAACAGTTCAACTGAAACATCATTAGTTCAACTTTTTTATTTTCTTTAGTCCAACTGTTTTTAATGTTCTTTTTTGTTTCTGCATTTTTTATTTTATTATTATTTTTTCTACTTGTTTTAATTCTGTTTTATTTTCCTATATTTTAATCATGGAAAGCACTTTGCATTGTTTTTGTACTGAATTGTGCTATACAAATAAATTTGCCTTGCCTTGCCTTACCTTGCCTTACCTCAACCTCTGGTCTCAGACTCTACTATAAGACCAGAGGTTCCTGCCTTAGACATCGACACCGTTCACAGCAATTCCATTTCTAATAAATAAATTTAACTGTCTGTCTGTACTTCTGAGACGGTAAAAGACATGATCAGACACACAGAAGATGATGTAATAAACAGTTTTCAGTTTTAATTACAAAAAGAACATGTGGACTGTTGAATGGTCCATGTTGGTATAAAGAAGGGATGACCTAAATGAATGTCTCTTTTTTCAGATTCTAGTGAGGAAGGTTAAGGGGTTTGGGATGAACAGGAACCGAGCGGTGAAACAGGTGATGATGGATGGAAATTTGCCTTGTGCCTCTCTGTGGGGGCGAGCAGGTGTGGTAGTGCAGGGGACGGACGCTCAGCCCTGTCTTCCCTGGGGACCCCCGTGTTTATGGTGACAGGACCCCAGCAGTGTCTCCAAAGCCATCTTCACAAACGCCTGGAAGTTATTGCTTCTCTTCTCCTTTCGGCTGTCCTGCAAGGGGATAAAACAGAGACAGATACCTTCACTGGGAACACAGCAGTCACAGCAAAGTATTTCCAAGCTGTTGCAGATGTAGGTGAATAAATGTTTATATCATTTAATCTTTATGATTTTGTTAAATGCTTACCTCCTTGCTTCTTGTTGTCATCTCCTTTCTGATCACCTTTTTTTGGCTGATCTTTAGGACTCTGAGGTTGCTATGGAAATAAAGTTCAATTAAATATTGTCAAAAAACACAACTATTGAAATTTAGAAATATGAAGTTACCTTGGTAGCTGACTTCTTGTCCGATTTATTTCCTGGATTTGGTTCGGATGTGATTCAAAAAGATACAACAGAGGAAATCTTAGTACATCTAATCATTTAATTTAACCCATATAAAAAATATTTTTCAGTTCAAATGATTTTGGTGAATGTTGCTCACCTTTGGCTCCTGGCATGTTGGCTGTACTCCAGAGTCTTACTCTTTCAGGGGTTTTTGGAGGGAACACGGTGCTTAATGCGCTGGCCAACTCGGTCATTTATGGCCTGTGCTTATGAATTGTTCAGCCATTGGGGCCCCTTCGAGAAACAGCAAACAAGCAAAGAGCTCGGTCAGCTGAGCACTGAGCCCTCCAGCTCTGCAGGTCTTTGCTGAGCCAGGCGAAACCTCAGAGCTGACCTTGTAATACTGCCATTGTGAACTTACTGGAACTGTGCGTTCACCTATTGTACAAGGGAAGGCAGGATTTCCGTTATGGTACGGCTGAAGTGCTTTTAAATTTATGTTTTTCTTTTCCTTTTTTCACACTAACTTGAATCTAGTAGATGATTTTATTTCAACAAACTTAAATGTTTTGCTCTTAATAAGACTGTATGGCTCTTATGTTGTCATTACATTAGGACAATGGGTCTTGTAGGTTGTGGTTTTGTTTTGGTTCTCTGTAATTTTGCATATAATGTTATGTTTGCCATGTTAGTTTAGTTTGGGGACATTTTGCCAGCTGTTTTCTTGTTAATTTGTTTAGGATAAGGCTTTTTTGTTGTTGTTAATTTATCTTTACAGTTTTTGGTAATAATTTACGTATTTTTGGTTCTAATAGGTTCTGTTGCATGTTTTTTCCTGATTCGATTGACTGACTTTATTGACCTCACAGTGGAAAAATTTACCAATTGTCTCTGCTTGATCATTTCTTGCCCTGCCATTGCCATTTAATAAGTAGATTACATGCACTTTCTCTTCTGCTTGTTACTTTAGACTTCAGTCAGTTGCCAGTATCAATGGGGGTATCCATGGGGTCAAACTTTTTAATTGGGGGTCCACTTCAGTTTATTCACATAAGGAACCACTGACATCTCTTTTATGTTCCCCTGAGAGTTAAATGATTTGTACCTGAAGGTGAAATGTTGTCCTATTATTCCCTATTATCCCTTGAGATATAGCAGCTTTTTCTTTGACAGTTTTAATAAACTGTTTACAGAAATCAATAAAGTTTAATATTTAAACATATCTTTACAAGCATTCATATGGGGGTAGGGGTATTGTTTGTTACTTTATTCACAATTTATCCTTTCCCTAAAATGTATCATATCCTCAAATTGTCATTCAATTATAAGTGTTCTCATTGGGGCTCCAGGCCAGCATGGGGTGACAGAGTTTGCTCTTGATGGTTTCTGCCAATTGTCTACATAACACATGTCTATAGGTGTAGTTTTGGTATACTTCTTTAGTTTAATACAGTTTATTTACATTGCATAGTCTTAGGGCCATTCACATTGATCTGAGGAAATACACAATCAAATCAGTCCCATCAAGCAGACTGACAGGATACCTGCAGGGAATACACTAGAATGTATTATCAGATGGGACATTTAGTCTTCTTTCTTAACTTCACGTGTCTTTCTTACATTATAATTGAAAAACTATGGATTTATAGCTTTTTTAAAATGTGCTACTTATAATAAGTTTAACTGATAATATTTACACACCTCAAACATAGCTTAATATCATAACTGGGAAGCCAAGACAAACCTGATGTTTCACATTACATTTATTTCATAGTGCAAAGACATTATAACAATAACATAAGATTAACATATAAACCTGAATATGATCTATCTAACTCCAATATTATGAAGAAAGACCAAAGGAAATGCAACAACAGATAAGTGTCTCTCCATAGACAATAACATGTTGAGTACTAAACCAAAAAATACATATCTAAAATTTAGATTAAAAACTCCATTTGTCAGCAACCATAAGCGATAACTTGCCAATCCTTGCCAACAATCCTTTGGTTTGAGGAAATTAGTATTGAAAAAAATGTCTTTAAAACATTTCATTGACTAATGAATGATACTATCTACTAATATAAGACTATAAATGTACTTTTATTGTTTAACAACCTTACAATGCTTATACTGACATTGAATGAGTTGTTATAGCTGAAATAATGCACAAATAAAACATTGTATGAGATCCTACAAAATGCAGCAGAACTTGTCAACAGAGCAGAGATATGCATAGATAGATAGATAGATAGATAGATAGATAGATAGATAGATAGATAGATAGATAGATAGATAGAGAGGTAGATAGAGAGGTAGATAGAGAGGTAGATAGACCATGCACTATGCACCCAGAGCTGTGTGTCATCCATGTATCAGTGTAGATTAATGATAAACTTCTGGAAAATATTGCCAAGGGGAAAACGATATATGATGACAAGCAGAGGTCCAAAGACAGAGCCCTGAGGTACACCAGAAGACACAGCAGAGGGACAGGAACAGAATGACTGTGACCACTAATAAAACAAGTCTAAGGGGGTATGAGAGATGCCAATCTCTCAGAAGATAATCTGTTGAGGAGCATAGTATGGGAGATGGTTTTAAAGGCAGCACTCAGATCAAGAAGGATGAGTAAGGGGAGTAAACAAGAGGCAGTTACAGGTATCTGGTAAGTCCCTGAAACAAAAATCCTTAAACAGGATTTTATCACAAGACAAGACCACTTAACATACACAGTGAAAAAAAATTTGCATTCTTTAATTCAGAAACAGATAGAACATGTTATTATGTAAATGTTAAGCAGTAATATTACAGGTAACAAAGGTATTTAAAAAAAAAAAAAAGCTTAAACCAGCCATTATAGCCCCATTAGATAAAGTGTGCAATGGGTAATGTCATGGTTTATTTGTTTTAGTTACTCTTGTTTTAGTTGTAGCAAACAACAAACAATATATTTTTCTCTCTTTTATGGCTTCAAACAAAACAGGAACCCGTTTAGTATTAGATAGCATACAATGTGTGCTTCTAATTTAATGAGAATGAGGCCATAAAATTGCTAGTTATCAGTTTACCCATGTTACTTCTAGTCTAAACGCCTGACTTTTAGGGGATTTGTGTCGTTAAATCAGCTGGGATTTCTGAAAGCAAGCAAAGTTCTTAGTATCTACACAATACGTGAGAATTTAATCAAAAGCCCTGCAACTCCTTTGTTTAACCGCTAGGGGGTGACAACATCAAATAAAAAGATAAATAAAAATAAGGTAATGTAATATGATTAAAGCCTAAATGGCCTTCCAAAATATTTCATACCTGTGTTTTATTTCAAAATCTTGTTTATTATTTTTCTTCAACTCACAGACCGAAACTGACATGCAAAACAAAAAAATTTACTGATGGCACTTTTTATAGCATTTTTAAAGATATTAGTAGGATATTTTTTTCAGCAAGAAAAACTGTTTGGGTGAGTAAAGGAGGTGCACATGTAGCAAAAAATATATTTTTTAAAAACACTAGGGCCTTACAATTAAAGTAATTAAAGTAAATTTAATTACAATTTTGTTCAAGTCTTATCCTCAAACAATTTTCCAACTGAATCACTGTGAAAAATGTCCCGGTATTTAAATAAACTTTTAAAAAGTCATCAAAGACGCTATCTAGGTAGTATCAGTTATGATGATCAGGGAGCTCATGCTGTTTTAAGTCTGTTGTGTAATTCCATTGTCATGATCCAAAGTCCAACTGTTGCAACAACGTGCTTTAACAACAGAAAGCACCGGAGAGGACTTTTCAGGATAAGGAATTGAAATGAAGGAATAAGTAAGTAAACCAGTCTTTAGGACACAAAGTCAAATACTGAACATGTATAAGCTAATGATGGTCTTGGTTAATAGGGAAAGTGAAATTAAATGTATTCCAATTCTAATATCTAATTCTTAGTCTACTTGGACAGTAGGTTTGCTATGTGTTTCTTTTTAAACGGCATCAATTCATGTGGATAAGTCATGTTAACTGATATTACCATTTATGACCACAAATAAATCCCACTTATATAACATATTAACCCAAGCAGGGAAGTGATTCACACAGATCACTCAGACTTTTATGCCCAAAATGTCACGAGCAGCTGGCATTTCAGGTCAAGAAATCATAGCATGTAGTATAATGTAGTTTCAGGATAAATATATGATTAAAACAGAAAAAATTCAGTATAACAAAATGGAAACATAACACTTTTAATTCTGTGTTACTTCATTACAGGGACTATCTGAGAACAACCGCTCACTAGCACAGGAGAGGATCCACTGTGACCAGGATGGTGAAAAGAGTTCTGGTAGCCTATGCCCTGTGGGCCATGGGTGGGCCTTTGGGTCTTCACCATCTCTACCTGGGGAGAGATAGCCATGCACTGCTATGGATGCTAACCCTGGGAGGTTTTGGTTTTGGCTGGGCCAGAGAGTTCATACGTATTCCTGAGTATGTCAGTGAAGCTAACCGAGACGTTGAAACTGACAGAAGAGCTCATAAAGGACGACTCCCACCTGTCAGCCCCTTCAGATTCGCTGGGCAAGTATGCGTTGGGATCTACTTTGGCATGGTGGCTCTGATTGGACTTAACTCCCTCAGTTTCTTCTACCTGATCGTTCTGCCCTTGAGTGTGGGTGCAGGGGTTCACCTGGTGTCCAATATTGGACAACAGACTGCAGATCTCCAAAAAACCCTCACTGCCTGTCTGGTGACATCTCCTATATTCTATGGCAGTTCTCTGTCACCTCTTCCTATAAGCTTAGCTGCTAGCATTACTGCCTCACAGAATCGCAGGTTCAAACCACCAAATGCACATGGCAGCCAGCAGAAATTAGGTGAGCTTAATTAAACTCCCAAAACTCCTCAGTAAACTTATAAAACCCTACTGAAACCACATTTTCCCACCTTTCCTTCAGGTCCACGACTTTACAGGATTGGTCTAGCTTGGCTGGCCTTCTCTGCTCCATTGGGTTACTGTTTTTTTTATAACACCACAGCAACACTGTATTATCTGTCTGACACAATAGCTGCACTGTTGGATATATTCTGGTTCTTGCCTTGGCTTAGAAGTGTATTGGAGTATTTTCTTTTAATGCCATATCGCATCCTGTGTGCACTGACCGGAGGGGGGTACCATGAAGAGGCATGGAGGAAGGTGCTAGAAATACTCCTGAAAGAGTACACACAGAGAGAAAAAGAGGCATTGAAGGTGAGAAAGCAAAAAGTGAGACGTAGATATACCCATACACTGTTTCTGGTTGACTTTCTCTTGATGTTTCAATGTTTGTGCTCAAGGTACTGTCATTGGAGGCAGAAGCATCCCTTGAGGAGATAACGCGAAGCTACCGGGAGCTGGCTAAAACATGGCATCCAGACCACAACCCAAGCAATGATGCTGAGAAAATGTTCATGCAGGTTCAGGAAGCTTATGAGGTCTTGATGCGATGGCACAAACCCAATCGATTCAAATAGTAGAGCGATATTCCAAACATGTTTTCCATTATCAAGCACCAGTGATAAAATAACTGTTTATATGAACTTGATAATCCCATTGTAGGAGCCTGAATTTACACTTTGTGATTTTCTTGGTATGCATTATGGTTAATGTTTTGTGTTTTTCTTGATAAATTAACCTTTCTTGAAATTATTAAATATTATTGGTAATTCATACTAATTTGGGAAATTTGTATATTTAGCTATTGTGGTTATTTTGTTAATATTTTCATTACTTCTTTGGTTTAAGGATGCATACGTGTCACTTTTTAAGGATGCAGAGAGAGCAGAACATTAGAGATTAAACTAACAGATTCTGCTGAGTGTGAGAATAGAGATAGAATGAAGCAGAATGATGAAATAGGGGTCCCTATGTCCTCCAGCAGTCTAAGCCTATAGCAGCATAACTATAGAGATAGCTCAGGATAACCATAGCCACTCTATACTATAAGCTTTATCAAAAAGGAACTTTTAAGCCTAGCCTTAAAAGTAGACATGGTGTCTGCCTCACAGACTAAAACTGGTAGTTAATTCCACAGGAGAGGAGCCTGATAACTAAAAGTTCTGCCTCCCATTCTACTTTTAGAAATTCTAGGAACCACTAGTAAATCTGCAGATTGAGAGGGTTAGTGCTCTGTTAGGAACATAAGGAACAATCAGATCTCTGATATAAGATAAAGCTTGGCCATTTAAGCCTTTATATGTGAGAAGGAGGATTTTAAATTCTATTCTTCATTTAACAGGAAACCATTGGTGGCGCTTCTGCTTATGTATTTAATTGTACACTTGTTTGAATATCCCCAAAACGGACATTTGCTGCCACCTTGTGGCGTAGATGTAACATTACAAAAAACAATGTCATCACCGAATATTACCTGCTGTCATCATCGGGTGTTTCAGCAAGTGCTTTATATGTTTATGTATGAATATTTATATGTTATCTAACAGTTACGATAAATGTAATTGGATGAGATGTCGGGGTTTTTATGCAGGATAAAACGTTTGGAGGTTTTGCTGGACGGTATGCCTTAAAACAAATACGGTCACTTGGAATTTTCTAATTTTCAAGAGTCTACATTTTCATAAAGCAAGAAACAGCAACAATATTGTCTGCCTCCTCTTCTTATCGATGCATTCGACAATCACTACATCAACAGCTCTGTCTGTATCCCAGCATGGGCCCGGAAGTTGTTTGGGTTTCAGGTGAAAAAAAAAAGAAGAAAGAAAGAAAAAAGGAACGACAGAAAGGAGGAGAGGAAGATCCCAGGGATGCTGCCGCCGCTGGGGGAAACAAACAGCCAGGCGGACAATTAAAGAGCAGAGCACCGATCGGCCGCCAGGTAAGCAGCAGCCGCCCATCAGCTCCCTCTAGATCGGCGTGTTTTTGAAGAGTTGCTGCGGGTGAATGCCATTTGTCGTGTGGTCGGCTGCCATAGCAACGGCTCGCGAGAAACATATAGCCCAAGTCGGTTTGACGCGCTCGGTGTTGGATGACAGCTGCGTTCATGCGGACAATTCTCTCAGTCGCAACTCCTGCACGCGCCGCCGCCGCTGTCTGGAAGCCGCGCGCGAGGCTGATCGGACTTAAAAACCCGCCGGGAGACGCTGGAACAAATAGCCGCGGATGCAGCGGGGGAGAGAGAGAGGCATGGCACCTATCTGGAAACATATATGATTCAATGCACAATCGACAGTCTGGGGACCAGAGAGGATTGCAAAGCAAAGGGTTTGGAACAGATGCGCGCTCTCCTGTCTTTATATATTTCTTTTCTTTTAATTTTTAATCGCGGTGTGGCTCCCGGCTCCATCAGCGCCTGTTGCATCCAGGATATTCATTCTCCCTGAGATGTGCTGCTGTCTCCGCCTCCCCCCCCTCTCTCCAAAGTCAATGTCCACTGTTGTCATCCATTTAAGCAAGAGCTGTTGATGCCTTTTACATCTTGGTCTGTTTCCGTTTCATAAAGTGAAAGCTCCGTCTGCTCCTAGTGAAAATAAAACATGTTGGCGGCTATGTCTAAAGACAACGTAAGTCAGCAAAAAAGTGTCTGGTCTTGGTGTTTCTGTTGCATAGCTGTTTTATGTAACGTGGTAATTATTTGTCAATTAAAAACATAGGGGGAAAGATAAATAAGGATAAATGTGAAACAAGTTGAAAGCTGATTAACAATAAATGCAAATCTAAAAGCAGGAGTAATATAATACAATATATTATCATAAAATGATAAAAATAGCAAGGATGTTTAAGCTAATAATAATAAAACTGATAGTAAACTGGTAGTTTCTGTTAATCAGAGAGGTGCAGACAACTTGTAAGTTCTCAATGGACTCTGTAATGCAAGATAAGACTTAACTATTTTGAGGTATTTTTTTGCAATAGAAAAGTTTGTGTCAATTTTTTCCATTTCATTCTATGTAAGGTATAACAAACTGATCATCATCCAATAGTGTTGTTTCAATCCAATTCAGTTTATTTATATAGCACCAATTCACAACACGTCACCTCAAGTTCAACAGATCATCCAGTCAAATTGATTCAAAGTTTTCTATCTAAGGAAAACCAGTTGATTGCATCGACTCATTGACTGGAAGGCAATCCCTCACACTAGGCATGCTTGTAGCGACAGTGGAGAGGAAAAACTCCCCTTTAACAGCAAGAAATCTCCAGCAGAACCAGGCTCAGAGCGACCAGCCACCGACCCAGACCGACGGGCAAACAAACAGAAGCAGAGATACAAAAAGCAGCTGTAAAAGGCGGCCCCGTCCAGAAAACACACACCCAGACCCACAGACAATTAGTATACTTTTAATCACAGTAAACCAACTGTTTAGATTAAGTCTAATCTTGCTTTGCTTAAGTTGTTTTTAAGTTAGGGCATTGACACCACTTCTCTGATTTTTTTATTACTTAAGTTAAAATAAATATAACTTTTGATTGGGGAGTGGCGGCCTAGTGGTTGGGGAATAGGGCTTTGAATCCTGACAATGGCAGCCCACTGCTCCCCAAGGGGATGGGTTAAATGCAGAAAAGTAATTTCCCTCTGGGATTATTAGAGTATAAATATATATATAAAAAAAAAAGATTTCCGTTCTCATCCTGTTCTAGGTGATATAATCTCTCTGTAAACTTTGAAAATTACATATTTAGTTTTAAATATCAGTTCTTTGCAGTCTTGAAGGATAGTCTTCATTGGAAGTTTTTGTTTTCTGGATCAGATGCTTAGATCTCTAAAGTGCAAATGTCAGAACTTCTTTAATCGTATTTATTTCATGTTAAATAGATTTATTGCTCTACTAAAATAGGCTTGGCATACAGCCCCAATCGTTCACAATTTTCTTGTGAAGAAAATTACATGATTTAGAATTAAGAGGCATTTCAAAGTTTTAGAAGGTAACAAATTATTCTGTCCAATGTTAATGTTTTATTATATTTCTTAAATTGGCCTTTTAATAAAAAGTTAAAATATTGAAGAAGTAGAAAACAAGCTTTGAGAAAAAAATACCTTGAGATCTACTCACTTGGGTCTGCTACCAGAAATGTGCTGGTTTCCTTTATGTCAAACTCTGAAAAGGATGTTGTTCGAATAAAAAAAAGACCAATATTTTACATTAACATGTATTTATTTTATTGTTAAATAAAAAACTCTATTGGACCCCTTTTTTTTAATGTTTGTTTAAGCTCTGCTGCGAGACAAACTACATCTACGGTCAGATCATGGTCAAATCATTCAACCAGAGCTTCTCTGACAGCATGCAGCAGGCGAAAAAAACTAATTTGAAAGCAACATATCCTCTAACCCCCCCAAAAAAATTAAAAAGATCAGAATCATAATTCACTAACAACAATCCCTCTGTTACCAAAACAAACAGTGAAATATGGCGGAGGTAGTATGATTATCTGGGACAAGAAAATGTATGATCCAGGACATCGTTCACCTGTTATTGATAGAATATATGGACTCTAACAGTTATCACAGAGATATGTCTCGTTAATTTTGATCATTTTAAGATTGATGATCAAAACAAAAACCTTTAAAAATGCCTCTTTCCCTGCAAACAGATACTGCAGTAAAAGCCAGAGTTATCCATAAACAAATAGGCTGCATACACCAGTTAAATTAAATGGTCCCGTCTTACAACTTATCATACACCAGTTAAAGCAAATGATTCGACTAAAGTTTTTATTGTATCAAAATTGAAAAGAAGTTATTTTACCTTTTTTTTGTTATTTCTACTTGTTTAAACAGGAACAAATCACACAATTATTAATCGGTACAAGTAAAGTAGTTCAATCGTTTTAAAACAGGGTTCTGTACATGTTTGTAGATTGAAAATTTTAAAATTACTAGAGGTTTACCTGGTAAAATAAAATAAAAACTTTAAAAAATATCTTTTCAGTAAAAAGGGTATAGAAAAACTTACTTGAACTAACTTTAATAACTTGGTCTGTCCATTAAAAGTCACTGGATCCTTGTTGTCCTAGTCACAATAAAACAGAACTACAAACAAAAACATGACTAATAAAAGGTGAAAATGATATTATACACCTAACTTGCTCCTTTTTTAAGTTTTTAAGCCTTTTAATGCCATATTGCATTCTATCTGCACTGACTGGCGGGGGGGTACCAGGAAGAGGCATGGAGGAAAGTGCTTTAAAGGAACAATTCCACAGGGTTGGATATGCAGTGTCAAAGTAAATTGACTCTTTTAGAGTTACAACTACTCTAAGTTAATTTAACACTGATTTAAAGTGGGACCAAATGCACTCTTAAGGTGTGACTTTAACACTGCTGTCAAACCTAATTGTAGCCATTCTTAAATTATGATCAAGGTCCTCATAAAACTACTCAAAGGGCAACAAATGGCAATACACAATATTGCCATAAGACATATTTTCATATATACTAAATCAGTTGCGACGTTTGGTAACACAGGAAAGTAACACTAGAAACAAAGAAAGTTCAAATAGCAGAAAAGGGATTTCCATCCATGTTGTTAGTGTTTCTAGTTTTCCAATGAATATCAGTTTGAATTTGTTGTCCTGATCAATCAGAATGCCTTTCAATGGTATGGTAACTTTATGGAATGAAATAATGTTCGTTTTACTGCTAAGCCGCGGCTCATTCGCTGTCTGGAAGCTGTACAAAATGAAATTTCATCTTGTATAAACTCTGTGTATACAAAATGACAATAAATGTTGTCTAAGTCAAAGCTTGTGAATACATAGGGGAACTTTGCAGACTGAGATGAAGGCTTAAATCTCAGAGGAAAAAAAAAAGTTTCAATCTCTGGAGGGTAACTTGAATAATCTATGTACAGAGACACAAGGTTCGCCAAACAAAGTTTAGAGAATGATATAAAGAAAAAATATATATTTATATTTATATAAACAGTATTTAGTTAAGGGGGATTATTGTATGTCCTTTCTCACATAGATGTATGCATTATTTGTTTAATATACGTGTGTATGTATGAGAAAAAAACATTATAAAATGCCATATGTAAATATATAATGAACCTAATTTATCTCTAGTTTAAGAGCATTACTGAATGTTTAAAAGTAAGTATCCTGCCAAATGGCTACAGGTAGATCCATCAACATGATGAGACATAGATGGTTTGATTTGTTTTATTTGATTTATTTGGTTTAAACTACCTTCTACCCCGTTTCAAGCATATAGAGAGAGTTATTATGCTTTTAGTGTACACATTATTATGTTTTTTTTTTAGGTTTCTTTAGCTCTTTTTTTATCCAAATGGTGTATAAAATAAACTAATAATGATCATGAAAAAATGTATTTCATTTTTCTGCAACAACAGTAAATGTAAACAAAAAAAACCCATCCTTAACGGTCATCAGTCAGAGACCTCATGTTATTTTTAAATTCAGTCATTTAATGACTTCCTAATAATTGATATATATATATATATATATCTTTAATGAAGTTTGATAAAGCCCAGGTCCATTTTTTTTTACCTTTGAAGTGCATTTACAGAGAAAATGCATGGCAGGAAATATATTTATTAATTATTAAAGACAAAAACAATTTGGTTTGAAGTTTTTAATCTAAAGAAACTTCCTAAAAGAATGTGACAACTCTTTTAAATATGTGCATAAAATGCTCTTTATTTCAGGCTTTATCCACCAACCCCCTTGATATGTTTCTGTGTTTGTTTCAACTCCTCCTTTGAAACTCTTTGCCAGACATTTTGTATAAATGTCAAGCGTCTCATTTTCATTTGTAAGACGGAGGAAGTTCTCCAGGAAAGAGAGCCAGTCAGATCTGTCTGTTTTCTTTAAAAACTAGAGTACTTTAGTGTTTGGTTTTAGAAAATAAGAACTGAAAGCCTGAATTGGTCTGTGGTTGTGGCATCATCCAGCTGGTTAGAATAATTTATGTTAAGAATAGCAAAGGTGTCTATCTTTATCATTTGAGTGTTTTTTTCTTAAAGGAAATTATTATGGATGTAAGTTAACAGTTTGTTCTGTTTTTATAGGCATCTGGTGAAAGAATGAATGCTGATGAATGTAATGGAGGCTCATATCCACAAGGTAAGAAAAAATATATAGTTCATTGTATGGAAAGTGTATGAATGTACTTACTATGTACTAATGTCAGCTCTTTGCTTCTTTTAATTTACTAACATTTGATTCTAAGAAGCCAAACTCTGGAAATATTTTAAATTATTTTTGCTTTTTGGACTTTTGCTTCTTTTTTGTGTATTTTCTCTTTAGCTGTCATTCCCTGCTGAAAATTTTAGACTAAGAAAATGATGGATTGGGAAAAATGGGGGATGAACAACTGTTAAAGTAGAGTTCTATAATAAAATATTAGTTGGATCTTTTATTTCTGTGAAGCAGCTTAATATAACATTTGTGATAAAATTGTGTATAAATAAGAAAGTTCCAAATTATGCATCATCAAAAAAAGTTTAGCATTTCTTTTTTTTTTTTTTTACGAAATCATCTGGCATTGCTGGTATACTATACGCTATTTTATGTTTGTACAACTGCCAATCTATGGGGTTCCCTTTCATATCCTAAAGTAATCTTGTCTTTGTAAATGGCTATTCTAACAAAGTTTACAAAGAAAATAAAATGGTTCTTTGCAAAACTTAAAAAAAAATTGAAACAAACAAACAGAAAAAAAAACAAAAAAACATTCTTTTTACATAGCATCAGCGATAAAATCAACAAATGTTTATATTAAATAAATTCTACAGGGGGGTTAATGAGGATATTTTCAGCTGTTTTTTTTTTTTTTTTCTGAAGATGGTAAAAATTAAAGGAAAATCTTTCAATACGGTCCAACAGCTTGGAAGAGGGATCCTGTCAAGTTTTGATCTTGTACATGGAAATGTTAGAATCTAAATTGAAAAATCTGGCTTAAATAATTTAACCGCTACACAATGAAGGAACCTAAAAGTTAATATCTGATCTTTAAAGATGATTTTCTAATGGATAGATAACCAATGTAGAAATATTAAAACAGGATTAATGTCAGGTCTTCTGTTTCTTCTAGCCAGCGGAACGCTTTACTATTGATGTGTGCAAAAAGTTAGTTAAAATGGTCAAAATGAGAGGAAATGTAAACATGAGGGATTCTCTAAATTTCATGTTTGATTTCAAACTTCTTAGTTTGGAATTTTTAGATGATTAAAGATATTTCTGATTAATGTTTATCAGTGACCTTCATGAGACATTGATTGATTGATTGATTGATTGATTGATTGATTGATTGATTGGTTGATTGGTTGAGTTATTCATTCATGCATTCAGTCATTCATTAGAATGCTACAATTATTTTAGTTATGCTTATCAGCATATTTCAAATAGCCAATATGTAGCCTGGAGGAACCTAACTCCCCAGGCTAGTGATCAAACATACGCTGTCTTAATGAGTTTAAACGAGAGATCTTAGATTTTAACGGATGTGCAATTGAAATTCTGGCTCTCAAGTATTTGGTTTGAAGAGTCCATGATCCTCAAGGGAGCAGTATTGCTGAATGAAAAGGGGAAAAACAGATACCCCAAACAGAGCCTTTGGATACGTCATGTATTAGATTATTGGTAGAATCTGAAGAGATTAGTTTTAAAGGGACACCTAAGCAAGAGATTCCCACCTAATAAAATGATTATTTTAATAAATCAGAGTTGCAAAAAAAAAAAAAAAAAAAAAAAAAAAAAAACTAAAAAAGAGCAGGATTGTAGAAACTAAATAAAAAAAAAATTAAAAGAGTTAAAGAGTTGGGGTAAATCAATTTTATTTAAGTAGCACATTTAAATGGCAATGCTGCTGTAGATGACAAAGAAAAAAAGGGCATATATACTGTATATACATATACGTATATATATATATATATATATATATATATATATATATATATATATATATATATATATATATATAAAGATCCCATGTTCGAACTAAGATACTTTAAATACTTTGAAAACCCTTTTGTAAAAGGGAAAGGGTTCTGGGATTTTAAGCCAGTCAAGCTCTATAGAAAGAAATAATAGCTTTATTCTATGAATATTGGGAAATAATCTCAGTCATTTTGCAAGGCAAGTTTATTTAGATAGCAAATCTTCGTAGCAGGACAGAGGGAAAAATACATTGCAAGATATTTTAAATAATAGACACATTTCTGTACAATTTCCTATTTAAACTATGTCTTTATTAGACTATGTTTATGTTACAGGTAATGGCGGCGAATCAACAGCAGAGCAGGATTTTTATGGTGGGTTGCGGGCCACTTCTGCAAGATCTCCTAGCAGCCAGCAGTCCTCTCCCCTTCGCTCATTAAGTGGTCAGTCATTATATCAATTCATATATGTATATTTTTTATTTGAAGCTGGTGTCCAAGTAAATCTATTTCCATATACGCTCCATTTTTCCAAAATAAAGACTCTATTAAGGTGGAGCTGTGTAGCGATGAAGAGTCTTCAGGTGCCCGTCAGTCTGAGAACAAAGAGGCCGTAGGGAGTGACAGTGGGAAAAATGACAGAGCGGGTCCTGCTGAAGAAGGAGGTGCTGCTTTTGCCGGGAGCAGAGGAGAGGGAGGAAACATTTACAATGAGACGGCTACTCCTAATTCGGCCTCGCCTGGACCTATCCGGCTGCCCAACGGGAAGCTGCAGTGTGAGGTGTGTGGGATGGTCTGCATTGGACCTAATGTGCTGATGGTCCACAAGCGCAGCCATACAGGTGAGAACATGACGGCAACCACAGTCTATATGAATATTTAAAACAGATGCTAAAATACATTATATAAATTAATGAAGCCCAAAAATCAACGCAAATGTTTGCAGGCGAGCGTCCATTTCAGTGCAACCAGTGTGGAGCCTCCTTCACCCAGAAGGGTAACCTGCTGCGTCACATCAAACTTCATTCAGGAGAGAAGCCTTTCAAATGTCCTGTTTGCAGCTATGCCTGCCGCAGGAGAGATGCTCTGGCAGGTCATCTGCGCACTCATACAGGTAAATCAATGAGCTCCCTCGATGCAAAGCTAGATGGAGACAGGTGTCTGTTTCCTCTCATCATTATGTAAGCCTGGTCTGTAAATAAAATGATCTCTAAGTGCTATATATACACTTATATAGTTAAACACTTTAGCTGAAATCAGTCTTTAGCTAATTGTTATATAATATTTTAAAGCAGTAAAAGTGAAAGTAGTAAAACCAAGTGATGTTCATTGAATAGTGCCTTTCCAAAGAATAAAATCACAAAGAACAGATAAGAATTCATTAAAATAGCATAAAGGAAACTTAAACATAACATAAATAAAAGATTCAAGCTTCTACAAAAAAAAACTCTCCACAGGGAGAGCAGAAGACATTTCATAGGCAAGATTTTCCCCTGCTTTGGAGCTTTAATATCATCTACTAGATATTTACACTATTTGTCTTTTTATTTGATGAATTAAGACAAAGCAGAAATAAGTGCATTGGAAGAGAAAATAAATTTCTGGAAAGATAAATTAAGAGTCTGGCATATTCAGTCCTTTTGAGTTGATGCTTCAGAACCATCTTTCTCTAGAATGACAGCACCATTTTTTTTAAAACTGTGTCTCTACCAGCTTTTTATGTAAAGACTAGCAGTCTTGTCAGATCAGATAAATAACATCCAGACTGTGGCTGGGCCGTTCTGGCAGCTGAACAGCATTAGATACGAGCTGTTTAAATGCAGCTCCAGCTACATGTTTAGGGTTGCTCTCCATTCGGACCTCTGTCCCAATTTCTTTTGCAGCCTCCATCGTTATTTTGGCTCCATAAAAACCTGAGATCTCCCTATCTCTGTTGAAAAGCATTGTTTTACCACTATGCTTTCATCCTCATCTTTAATGGTTGTGTGTTTCAGGTAGGGTGCAAAAAGCAAACTGGACCTATTGCTGCTTTCCTTTACAAATTCCTGTTTCCTTGCTACTCTTCCATAAAAAAATGTCATATTCGTGGCATCCGCAGCTAATTAGTTTTCATTGAGCAGATTTACCTACCTAAGATGTAGAATGCTTTTATTTGCATAGGATTATATCTTGAATATCAGAGTATAGGAGGCTGAATATAAATGCACACTAAACTGATTTCTTTTTTTTTTTAAGTATGATGTTTCTTCAACTTTATGCACTTAGGTAGTGAACTTAATGGATGTTTGTGTTAAACCTAATCAGATGACACTAAAAGTGGTCCATTTCTCCTTTCTTTGAAACTCAAAGGAAATAGGTCTTCATTACTATTTTCTGTAAAAAGAAAGAAAAAAAAAAACGTGACATTTAACAGGTTTAAAAACAGGAAATCATGTGAGTGTGCTTTGAATTTTTTTGGGCCCATATATGTGAACAACAGGTGCTGACATACAGTGTTGATATAATAAGTCTGGATGTGATCGGGTCGCACAGGTTCATTTACAGAGAAACGATCACTGCAAACTGGATTTCAGCGAATTGACGTCATTGCTTCCGTCGGCTTACCAAACTGGAACCCTGCGGTGAGGGGTTAGGCGTTTTCTTTACCGTCACATAAAGGTTTCAAAAATCAATTTCAGGAATTCCTAATCAAAAGGGAAAGTCTATTCTTATAAGCCATTCTATTAACTACTATTTCATTTGTAAAAAGAAATCCCCTCCAATACCCAATAATCTTACTTGCCATGTTATAAACCATCCCATATTTATTGGGTAATATATCCCTGAATGTACAGTCATTGAAATGCTTTCCCTCTGATTTTAGTTTCTTCCCCTACGGTGGGAAAACCTTACAAGTGCACCTACTGCAGTCGCAGCTATAAGCAACAGAGCACGCTGGAGGAACATCTGGAGCGCTGCCATAGTTACATGAAGACTCTGGAACCTGCACAGATGCAACTAGGTAACACACAACACATTCAACCATGAGCCTTTCATATGTTCACATATACTATATAAGGTCATTTGTCAGGGTTATTACGTTTTGGGGTTCTCCATGTACAGGTGAAGAGTCAGTAAATATGGAAAGCATCTCTAAGCCTGCGTTGCAGCCGTCCAATGAGAAAAGGCCGTTTGTGGACAGACTGACTGTCAGCATAACCAAACGCAAGAGGTCAACGCCACAGAAGTTTTTAGGTGAGTAATAATTTATATTTACAGTGTGAGTCATAAGTCTACATATACTGAGTGACAATATGAGTATCATATATTTTATTTTTGTTAGGCAAATGAAAAACAGAAAAGCAAGCAGCTTTTTTAAAATCCATTTTAAACAAAATCATTGGGTTTAATGCTGGTTTAAACAGAATCATTGGGTTTATAGCTAGTTTAAAACAGAGAATTGAGTTATAACTGGTTTAAACAAATTCATTAGGTTTATAGCTGGCTTAAACAGAATCATTGATATTATGCTGGTTTGAACTGAATCGTTGGGTTTAAAGCTGGTTTGAACAATCATTGTGTTTCTAGCTAGTTTAAACATAACCATTAGGTTTATAGCTGATTAAAACAATCAATGGGTTTAAAGCAGATTTTAGCGATCATTGGGTTTATAGCTAGTTTAAACACGATCATTGGGTTTCTAGCTGGTTTAAACATAACAATTTGGTTTCTAGCTGGTTTAAACATAACCATTGGGTTTATAGCTTGTTTAAACTGAATCATTGGGTTTAAAGCTGAAGTAAACAATCATTGGGTTTAAAGCTGGTTTAAACAGAATCTTTGGGCTTATATTGTGAATTATCTCTTATCAGAACAAGGGGTCAAAACTATACATATGGGCTCAAACATATGCATACATTAACAACGATATAATAATAACACATTCACTGGATGATCCTCACTGGATTCTTTCAATGTGTTTCAGTTTTTAGAAAATGATCCTGCTGGGATAATAATTACTTCAAATTACAGTCATCTGGCTGTCAAAGCCAAATAATTCTTAGATATTCGTCCTTTATTATTTCCTTTATTATTTCCTGTTGGCAGGGCAATAAACCCCCTGGTATTGTGATGGCACTCCTCATGTATTCTTTTTGCCATGAGGCCATCATAGCCCAATCATTTTTCTCATCTGACTACAGACTCCTGTTAAGCATAAAAGGGTTAATTTGGGCTCAGACACTTTTTTCTAGGTCAGCAGTCCCTCAGTCCATTATGTTATTTTTTCTATTAATTGTGAACAATAACACTGGTCTTCCAGCAGTTTCTGCTTTCTGATCAGCCTGAATCTTGGTCATCTAGGGTTTTTCTTGACCTTAACCTATTAGACCTCCACAGAGGTCAGTTTGGATTTAGTGAATCCTTTACACTTTCAACAGGGCAGTGATCCAAAACACACATTAAAGCTGATTGACTTATATTTATTATCTTTAGTCTTAAGAAAACTAGCCTTCAAACCTTAGCAAGCTGTTATATTTAGCTGTCATGTTAGGGGTTTTACGGCCAGTAGTGCTGGTCATTAATAATATGCAGTGTATAGAGGAATAAAGATTGAGGGTTGACTCCAAAGATTTAAGTCTTGACTTAAATCGACAGATGTTTAGAACTTAGCATAGGCAGGTGTTTAGAAAGAAAATATATATAAATGGATTTAAAGATTTGAATGAATTTCTATATCCCTGACTCTCTTTCTCGTTTTACATCATTGATAATCTTTTCACTTTCTTTATCATTTTATTTGTATTTTTTCTCAGGTGACAGAAATATTTTGTTACTTTGAAAATTAAATTCAAAAGATTCAACATTCTCAATAGAATAAGGTTAATTATTTATACAATTATATTTTAAAATGTTTTAATTAACAGGTTTAGAACCACTTGGTTTGATAGTAAAATATTATCACTCTGTGGGAAATTCCACCCTGAACATCATTTATTGTTGACGCGGTTCTTTTGCAGGAGAAAAGCACATGCACCTTGAACCACCAGAAGCACCTTACGAACTGTCCTCTGGCTCTGAAAAGGAAGGGGATCTCCTGAGCTCCCATTCTGCTGGAGACTCATCCGGTCTGGTTAGTTCACACCTCCACTTTGCGAGAGGTAAAGGTGAGAACCACGAGTCCCCCTCGCTGCCTCAGCTCCACCCAGGCTTTGTGGCGGAGCTACGAACTGTTGTTGGTTCCCTCAACAGCAATGTGGTTCCTCAGGCCCTCCGACCTCATGGGAGTGTGGGGCTTGCAGCAGTGTCAGCCGGGCTCCCCAGGGAGGCTGGGGAAGGCCGGGATGACCAGCCCTCCACGCACAGTCACACCACCTCACCCAACGGCTGTCCAGACTCTACGGACACAGAAAGCACAGCGGAAGAGCAGAGCACAAGGGCTTCGGCCCCGACGAGTACCTCCAACAACCATCACCTCCACTACCTGACCCCAGCGCTGCCCCGCAGCCTCCCCACTGCCAGCCCCAGCCAAGCCAAAGACTTGGAGACAGAGTGGGGCCCTGTGCCCCCGGGTGTAATAAAGAGGAACCAAGGATCACCGCTCTCTGCTAGGAACAATTTGCAGGTTTTAGACAGGGCCGGCAGGCCGGTGCGTTCCTTCTACTGCCGGCACTGCTGCATCCTCTTCCTGGACCACGTCATGTACACAATCCACATGGGCTGCCACGGCTTCCGCCAACCGTTCGAGTGCAACATCTGCGGCCACCCCAGCCAAGACCGCTACGAGTTCTCATCTCACATCAGCCGTGGAGAGCACCAGGTGGGCTGAAGACGAGGGGGGGCTGTACGAGGAGGGGGTTGTTGCTGTAATCTAAAAGGGGGCTCATGTTTGTTCTGCACCAGATCAGCTGCTTTAAATCCCTACTTTAAGTCAAATAAATCCTGAGTTTACTTTGGACTTATATCCCACATGGCATAGGTGAGTGGAAAATCGTTTTAAGGCATTGGTTAGATTAGTTTAGACAAGTAAATTATGTACAGTAAGTGATTGCACTCCCTTATCAAATCACATGGCAAACTAAAGGTTTTGCCTCAGAAGTGCCTTTGGGGATTTCCTCTGAACACACACTCTAACACAACAAAACACACACCCACACAAAAAGAAACAGAGGAGAACTGGTGCTCAAGAAACTCGATTAGCCATCCTTTCCTCGGTTATTTAGGGAATGATCACACCTAGGAGGTCATGTTCACATGCAGTTCTTGAAAGCATTTATCAAAAATATATTTTATCCAATGTGCACTAAGATTTCTGCATTAGTGGCTGAGGAGGGTGCTTTTGTGTGTCAGGTTTGCTACATATGCACTGAGAGCGGTGTGTCTATGAGTGTGGGGGGGAGTTTTTGTCACAGATGAAGCACAGACGCGGACTGCCTTAACTCCTACAGTTGTGACTGTTGTAGGAAAACATATTGTTTACAGCTCGGTTCAACGGCGCGCCAAGTAGGCATGGGCTGGTGGGAGATTTTAATGGTATAGCAGTAAAACAAGCCAGGCTTTTATTTTTTTTTATTAAATAATTTTATTTCTTTTTTTTAATAAAACCAGTTAGCAAAAAACATTCCAACTAAAATATTAGTTACAATTATAACATCATCTAAATAATTCTTGATGTAATTATTGTTTCTTTTAACTAAATCCAAACTTTGAATAAACAACTACAACAGTTAGTTGTGCTTTGTAGTGGCGCTACACTGCAAAAACGATCTAAAAATAAGTCAAAATGTCTTAAATTAAGTGTATTTACCCTTGATTTGAGTAGGTTGATAAGATGATTTGCCAGTGGAATGAGAATTTTTACTCTTAAAATAAGGTAATTAGATAATATACACTTGAAATAAGACAATGAAATTGTTTTTTTCTTATTTTAAATAAGTAAATTGTCTCGTTCCATTGGCAAAGTGTCTCACTTACCTCCTCAATTCAAGAAAAAACACACTTATTTTAAGAAAAAAATGACTTATCTAGATATCAATTTTTCCCAGTGTAGACTACATTTGTTTGCAGGTTAAGTAGTTAGGCTTTTAGTGTTTAAAGCAAGGTTTCTGCATGGTGTTTAAAAAAAAGAAACGCTATTTCATTTTGTCTTCTTAATCTTCTCAGAATGCATTTTTAGGAAGGTTTACATCCCTGGTTTTAAATTGCATGGAGCTGCACACAAAATAGGTAGGTTACATCTTTGTTAATCAAGCAACATTTGAAATTCATACAAATTGGTAAGAAATCTTCAAACGACATTGTCTCAAGTCAAAGCTTTAGGGAATTAAAAGCTCATCCCTCTCTATATCTAAGCCATTTCCAGTCTAAATAAAAAAATTTGTTTAGCATTCTAAACTAAATTTTCCATAACCATGATGATGATTACTGTACAGGCTGGTTCTACAGTTTGAAAAGTGCAAAAGAATCCATTAAAAAACAAACATCTTTTTTGCCCTTCATAAATAAAGGCAACTTGTGCAACAAGCCTTGTTATTTAAATAATAAAAAAATAGCTGACCAATTTTAATTTACTTGTATTCCTAATTAAGTTTAGGAATATTGTTTAGTGATTATTGTTGATTCTAAATCTTATAATAATTGTTTCGAAAAGTAAAATAGACCCACTGAATCTTACAAAGACAGAAATAGCATTTGCAAAGGCTGCAGGTCAACTAGCCTTTTACCATTTTTTTTTCATACAGATTTCCATGCTTTTCCTTTGTTCTTTTTTGTACCTCTGACCAAATGTTTTGTTCTTACGCACTTAAACCTATCAGACTGTATCAGTCTGATAGGTTTAATATACTTAAATGGATCACAGCAGATGGTAAAATTGCAAGTATGGTTAGAAAATTTGGGCAATATTTTTTGAAATCTTTATATTAAAGGCCCTGTACCTCATTCTACACAGTCTTAAACCATAGGCGAGAAAAGTTTACTTTGAACTATAAGCCACGCCCCTAACCTTCTACCATTGAGAAACCTTCCTCCCACTCTGCTTGCAGGTGGTAACGCACACATCTTGGGATAAAAGTAATGAAAAGATACCCGTCTAGGGGGACTAGAGCCAGATTAGAGTCCAGATTGAGTCTGAGGTGGTCCTGCAAAGCTTTCCATCTCAAGTAGGTTGTTCCAAAGTTTAAACGAGCTTTGTTTCTTCTTTGGTCATTCTTGCATTTAAACTCTCTCTTCCCTTCCTTCATTTTGAACCTTTTAGGCTGTTTGCTGTTTATGCAATGAAAAGCAGCTGAGGTAATGCAGCGTTCCCTATGTGTCTGCTAGGGGTGTGGGAAAAGATAGTTTTGACGATATATCGTAATATTCGGCTGGCCGATCTACCATCGATTTTTAATTTCTTAGAATCAATTTAAATAAACAAAAGATTTTCACCTAAAACAATGAGGGAGAATGGGCTACCTCTCGCAGATGGCGCTGTGGAGCCCTTTTGCTGTGAGGCGCAGAGCAATACCATATGATGAAAATATACAGCACTTGTTTTTTTTAACTATTCATTTTATTTTGATAGCTGGGAAAAATATCGCAATCTATAGTGATAATGCAATATCATGATAATATCTTATCATGACCCAAGTATCGTGACACGTATCGAATGGCAACACCCATGCCAATACTCACCACAGTGTCCGCCATGCTTCTCCGTTTACAAGGCGTTCCATTTTCGCACTTTGAGAAAACACCACATGTTGAGAAACACTCACTAGTGGCTCACTTGAAACCGGAAGCTCTACAGAATGAACCCTATTGGCAGAGAAAACCATCGCACTAAAGTTAGAAGCCTACACTAAAAATGCCTGGACTCCTGCATATCCGTAATCAGTGGGTGATTTATTCTGCTACATAATATACCATGTAAAAAGCCGAGTAAAAAAATAAAATAATAGAAATTAAAATAAATTTAGGTACAGGGCCTTTAAGTTCAGTTTCTGAATCTCCTTACAGTCGCTTTCGATGTACTGCACTATTACATGTCTAAAGCCTCAGCTATAAAGACAATAAATTGTAAGAAAAAAAAGAAAAAGGCATACTTACCAGCAGCTTTAAAAGTTTTATAATGGTTTTACCCTTAATAGGTGTTTATTTCTGCTCCATAACTTTAACTGGTACTTATCACTGCAAATGTTTCCAGACTATCACATTTTCTTTGCTGTAAGTAATGGATGGTACCTTTTTTTGCAGCCTGACATGCAATATGTAGAAACAGGTTGGGGAGGGGACAGCAGCTTTTTGTCAAACCTGTTATTTCTCTGGTGCGTTTCCTTTCTCTAAACCGTAAAGCCGACAACCGGCCCATGCCTTTAAAAAACGCCGACTGCGTAGAACAGAGCCTCAGGATGAAGCTAATTAATGAAGTAAAATTAGGATGAAGAAGGTTTTAGGATTTCAAAGAAAGTTTTAGGATACTGGTGCAGATCAGACCATGAGCTTTGTTTTCTAAGAGCCTCACTGAAAGGACCTAGGGTGCTCTACCTCTCTGCAGGATTGGACATTTTAGAATAGGTTCCCTGCTTATATATGAACATCTTAATGAAGCACTTCACTGCTTTACAGAAACCTTACCACGGACATAACAGTGACAATAACCGACCCACTGATTTATGTGGGGTGTTTACTGGAGCCGGCCTTTTGCACTTTGGTTTGGGACTGGTAATGGGGAACCATCAGCTCATCTTAAACGATCCAGCTGGATCTGAGATTTAAAAACAAGTTCCATATTATAAATGATTTAAGAAATTATTTAAAGATGAATTAGTAGAAAATCAGTTTGGATCTCTTTTGTTATTATCTCACTTGTGATTATCTACTTAGTGTTGTTTGTTTCTGCCTTGATGTATTTAATCAGCTATATTCCAAATCTTATCCAGCATATTCCTCAAAGTCCATGAAATGTTACCTCCTGCTTCTTTATGGCACCCAAATACCTTATTGCTACAGTGGTGAATGATTTGATGATGTGAATATCTGGAAAATGAATGAAACCAAACTCAGTATTCATACTTGTTATTGTTGGTTTGTTGCTTTATAGTTTAACTTGAGTTTCTTTGGTAAGCAAAATGTACTTGAAAACTGTGTAAAAAAAAAATATATATATATATATAAATGCACTTGGGTTTGATATGTATGTTTGAGTGTGAATGGATTACAGCATGGGTGCTTGTCATTTTCTGCTTTTACCTGAATTGTGAATTATTTTTGAAACGTGAAGTGAAAACGAGGCGTGGATCTTATTTGTCCCCTCCTCGTGTTGACTTGATGTTCTACGGGCGAAAAAAACAACCTCTGTGAATGATGTAACATAACAAAAACACTTTTACCTCAAACCTTGAGATGTACAACTGCCTCATTAGTTCAAAAAAACTAAAAAAAACAAATTGTAAAAAAAAAAAAGGTCATGTCGCTTTCCAAGATGTCTTTGCGGTTACAGATTGCGTGCTCCTTGATATTTTCAAAACTTTTTACTGTCAATAAAGTAACATTTATTGTAAAAATTGATTCTGTCTTTTTTGACCAATTGATTCTGAGTCTGTGCTCTCAGTCACCACAAGTATGATTAAGAGTTATGATTGAATATTGAATGTTGTCATATATGCATTACATTACAGAGACTCATAAACTGTTCTGGTAGATTTTAATTTATTTAATTTCTATTAAAAGTGAATTAGCATAAAAATGGATGATAAATTGTATAAATGGGGAATCAATTTAGAAAAATAATCCTGTTTTTTAATTTACATTTTACTAAAAAAACGTCACCCATCTACATAATAACAGCAAAAATCTTTATAGGCATTAAAAGCAAACTCTTCCTTTTATGAGTAACGGCTTTTTCTTTTTAAAATCTTTTTTGAGGAGCGTCAAGTGTGTTGAGGTTGAAAGACCTTCCTTCCTCAACCCTAATATTTAGCAGCTCCCTCCATAGTCTGGACTTTGGCTTGACCACTAAAAAACATTAACATTACATTCAGTTGGAAAAAACATGTCTATAAAATTACCAGATTACTTTAAAGCTCTATCCTCCTGGCATATGAACAATAGTGGGCTTAACTTTATTTCTTAATGATCATTCAAGCAATATTAATGCAGTAATTCCTAACTGCTAATTATTTGCTTCAATTCACATAGGTGAACAGGTAGATTTTGCCTTTATGTACAGCACAGATCTATAAATAAATAATATA